TCGTACTTATAGTACGCACCGTACGTAGTACGCGTAGTGCGCGTACTTCAAGCGTGCAGACCCTGAAATGGGACATAGCCATTGTGTGTGTCCTCTTGTGCTTGTTTCTGGTCCATCTGTGTTGTTTCCCTGAGTCACTCTGTGTCCCTCCATGCTGTTCTCCCTCCTTGTCGTTCTTCGTGTTACCTCTGCTCTCCATACCCTCGTATTGAGGTTTGTTGTTCAGTTCTTAGCTTTCCCAGTTTAGATTATTTCTTAGTTCTCTTTCTCGCGCCCTTGCTTTTTTGTTGTATGTCAGTCTCCTTAAATAAAGCTCACTCACATCTCAGCCAGTGCCTGCACTTTGGGTCCTTCCTTCATACCTCAACACAGCTTGCCCCACAAACTGTGACAGAAACAGCGAATTTTGCCAAAGTGCTTAACTTTGAGAAGCTTCCTAACAGTCTGCAGTCTATGAACTAACCTCAGCTAACAATGTTAGCTTGGTGGCGAGTACCCTTCATTAATAGTAATAAAAATCACACAGCATAGCACATTGACGGTACTGAAGTTTTGCCCATCCCATTCTTCTTATGAAGTGGTGTTGGAAATGCATTCCTGCCCATGCACTGCTGGCTCTGGGTCCATTGTGTAACTTACACCACCAACATTAACAGGACGCTTAATTTAGAGCCTTTTATTGGGTGTTTTGTTTGGGTTTCCAGCAATCTGAATCAGAGAAACTGTATTAATCCCAGATGGAAAATGAGTTTAAATTTTTTTTTTTAAAAAGAGGCGTGGTTCGTACTCAAACCCAGGCCACCTGTTCTCAGCCATGCAATGTATGACTACATGCTTATCCAACAAGAGTTAAACCAACCCCCGACTGCATTTAGTCACCAAAATTGGAGAAGGCATAGAGAGGGGCTAGCCTAACATATGAAACAGGAGATGACCGCCGTGTATTCTATTTATTTCAACAAAGTAACTGTATTCTGATTACCATCCATTTAAACTGTAACTGTAATAGAATACAGTTAGATCGTCTTGATGCATTCTCAATCATCCAGGAAAGTAAATCTCCAAAAGTTGATTCTGTTCATCTGGATGTAGCGTTTTCACTTAAATATGCAAAGAGTTCAGATTTGAACGACATTTACATGAAATAAACCATTTATGGGGTTGTTACAACTAAGTTTTATTACAAATGCGAGGATTGATTGTATAGTGGAAGTTAGAATATGACTGCTTAGAAGGACAAAAATATTTTTGTAGCCTCAGACCACCTGTGGTAAGTGAGGCTCTCAGTAGTTCTATTTTTTGTGCTGCTATTTTTTGTGCTGAGTGTAAACATTATATTGACAGTTTTAGTTTTACTGCACTCTTCAGATAGCTGAACTCACCTAAAACATGAACTGACATAAAACAAACACGTGGCTTAAATTGTATTATCTTATACAAAAGTGTCCAGCATACCTGACAGCTCAATCTTGGTGTAGTTTCCAACTCTCCACTGTGAGTCTGATCCACACCAGTATGTCCCAGCATCAGCTGCTTCCAGTTCTGTGATCCTCACTGTGAAAGAGCTGGAAGCAGCATCATCTTGCAATGTGAACCTGCTTCGACTTGTCACCATGTCTGTGCATTTGTTGCGGTGGTCTCCCTTACAGAGGAACTTCCTGTTATCCCAGTGTTGTGGAGGATAAGGACACTGCAAAGTTAGTGGATTTCCTGCAGTACCATTTCTTTTAGTTGAGTTGACACAGCACCACTCTGTCAGATTGAAAGAGAAACAGTATTTCAGAATAATCAAATATATAAGTTTCTTAGAGACTATTTGACAGCAAATAATGGTGCTTGGTGCTGGTGTAAAGAGCTATTACTGTGATTTACCTTCAACTTCCAGCTCAACAGCAGAGAAAACATCCACGTCAGAGTTTCTTTGGACACCACAGAGGTATGATCCTGAATCATTGCGAGTCAAACTGTTAATGGTCACTGTGAATGTTCCTGACACTTTGTCATCATCAAGTCTGAATCGCCCATTTTGTTTGGTGTCAGAGGTGATCAGTGCCTGCTGCAGACATGTGGAGGGCCGATTTCCTCTGCAGATGTACTTCAGGCTGTTCTGGTACTGAGACTCATACGGACAACTGACAGACTCAGAGTAACCCTCATAACTTTGAACTTTGGTCACAGTGTCACAGCAGCTGTCTGTCAAGAAGGTAAACAACACCAAAAGATATGTTACAGCCACAAAACTATTACATATAAGATTTAAGTGTTTTTCTCCAAGTTAAAGTGCAGTTTTACAGAAGGTCAATTTTGCAGCAAAAAATACAGATAGTCCTGCACCCACATACCACTGTTTAAAGAAATTCAAATTTTATTTGTCACACACATAATCGTAGACAGTACGACATGTAATGAAATGCTTATTGCTTTAAATTACTTACTACACTGCTATGTCTTTATATCTGTATATTTAAAGAAATACAAACTTCTATTAGCCTGAAACTGAAGTACTTACCTTTAATTTTATCTTCTCACTATCAATCTATATTTGACTTTTGCAAAGCCACTTTTTTTTAATTTTTTTTTTACCTTGTACTAATTTCAGCTTGACTTCAGTGTAGATGTCTGTTCCAGTTCTCGTCACCCCACACCAGTATTTTCCAGCATCCGTAGATTGAAGATCAAAGACAATTGTTGTGAAGATTCGTGTGCTGTTGTCATCATAAATTGAGTATTTGGTTTTGCTTGCTTGTGATGTTGTAATAAGAACATCATCACTGCCACAGTCGTCCTTACATAGGTACTTCTCATGAGATACATAACTCTGATCATAGGAGCAGGAGACATTAACCTCTCTCCCCACATATCCAGTCACATGGATCATCCCCACTGCACTGGTCACACATCTCAGAGAAACTAAGAAGACAAAATATAATGTGAAAAGATCATGTTTTACTTTGTCAGGTCAGCTTTCTTACTAGCAAATTTAGTGCTGTTTAAAGAAATTAGAAGACCGAGACAGAGCTTCACTTACTGTTGCTTAATACTAAAACATACATTTATTTGTTAGTATACAGATGGTTTTAATCTTTATCTGTTTACGTATTTAAATTACTTACTGCAGAAGATAAACAGCAGACTTTGAATGCTCCACATCTTTGCTCATCGAAATAGAAACGTAACAGGAAATATTGTCAGTACTGAAAAGCTTGTGCAGACAATAGGCTCATTTCATGTCATAGCAATATGAGGGGAGGGGGTGGAGCTAGACTATCAGCACATCAACATTGTTAGATGGCAGTTCATATAACGGTATTTTAATAGTTTGTAAAATAGCTGACATATGACATCTAGTGGTGAAAGAAGTGCTATAAATGAAAAGTCTTGAATCAAAAGAGTTAAGTAATAGTATTTAACTATATTTAGTAGGGGTGGGGGAAAATTTTATACAGTATAATATTGTGATATTTTCTGTGGTGATATTATATTGATACAGGGACACCAAATACCATTATATATATATTTTTTTCAAATTAAAAATTCTCTTGGAATAATGAAAACAAGAGGGCTTATCTCACGCACCTCCTGAAATAATGTTTGGCAAGCAAACTTATATTGATTATAATCATTATATCAGCTCAACCAAAAAGGCATCCAACACACTTGTATTTCCAAACTTACCTCCTAACTCAAAGCAGGCTATTGCTCTGTCACACTGAAGTAAAAATAGGCCCCGAATCTCCTTTCACCTGATGGACAAAAAAACAAAACAAAAAACAACAACAAAAATTGTGTCTGGCTTGTGACTGTACTAAATTTTTTCCTATTCTCCAACCGATTGCAAGTTGTGGTGATGAAATGGTTGGCCAGTGGATGGCCACTTTTTCTTACAAGGTGATTGGACAGATCTTCTGACAGAGAACCACAACTAACTTGGACTGGATGCAATGACTTTCAGAGAGATTTTCACTCTCTAAAAAATGCAACAAATACTATAAATTCCGACAGATTGCCAGCGTGTTTCCAGCAGTGAAAATGAGTCTGTGCACAATTTGAGGAGACTTGACTAACTTGCTTGCCAGCTGGGTGTATTCTGGTCATCGTCCTACAGAACAGGGAGGCTGCTCAGCATATCACAAAATGTTAAAAATTGGAATAATATATCATGAGTGGAGTATTGTGATAATATCATATCATAGGATGGCACACTTTTTCACTGTTTCATCTACTGGTGAGACCGCATTTCCTCTCCAGCTTATGAGTTATCTGTTTTAAGGTGCACATTTGAGAGTTATACCAGGGAGTCAAGTACTTCTGATTTGAGGCTCTTTTTCACAGCAACTACAGTATCTAGAGTGAAGAAGTAAAAATCTTCCACGCTACTCATCTCGCAGAAGACAAAGGGGAGAACCACTTTTCTGCTCTCCATAAAGCATTTATCACCTGGTCATCCATTCTCCCCCTCTCTCCTCCTCTCTCCCCTTCTCTTTCTGGGTGTTAGATCTTCTGAGATGACATCTGCCCTCACACCCATCCAACATTCAATTATTGACATTTAATCACCTTATGTCCAGAAATATTGTGCAAAAATCTGCATGAAAAAAGTTGAGTGTTTATTGGTATCTACCATCATGCAAAATTTGAACATGATATGTTAAAAAACAAGACGTACGGACGAACAAGCAAACATAAAAACAAAAAAGGATTACATATTCACACTGTGCCGTTATGGGTGCATGTCTGATGCAGGGGCGTTAACACCTTTCTTATATCACCACTCTGAAGACCGATGAGCGTTGTCAACAGGTTTACTGATATTCAAAAGGTGTTAACGCCCCTGCATCAGACATGCACCCATAACGGCACAGTAAAACGGCGATACAACCATAAACCGAAGATTTGAACAGTATTTTTTCCAACAGGACACCATAAACTGTGTGCCGATATGTTTCCCTTCTTTTTGCCTTTCTTGCGCCGACTTCCTGTTCAATAAAGTTGTTTCAAAATAAAGCCGTTTCTAAAGCGCATTACTTGGAGCAACCACAGAGGGCGCTGTAAACACATAACAAATAACCACTGACTGAGAATAATATTTTAGTGATACAACATTTACAACTTTTAATGATAACAGAACACACACCCTTTGGTGAACAAAAAAATAAGAGTCAATTATATTCAAATGTTGCAGCACTGAGGAAAATCTGCAATCTTTTTTGTCACAATTAGATACGTTTTATTGATTGACTTTCTATTAAAGTAACATGCTGACAGTTAAGAATTAGTGTAAACACTGTGCTAGGTAATTTTATATATTTTAGAGTCTATGTTTTCAACTAAAGTCATTTTTCAAATTTAATAGAGATATCTATAATGTTTGTCTATACTCATTTATTAAAAAGGGGAACATCTTTTGTCTTTTATCTACATCTTTTTTTTGTCATCCGGAAGTCCATAAATGTTCATCCCAGAAAATTACTCTTACTAATATACCTAAAATTTCTTTGGTATACTCCATCCTCCGTCATTTAAGTCATCATTTCATAAAGTTAGTAAATTTAATAATAAGGTTTATAATTAACATATAAGAAACCAACACAATACCAATTATTGGGTGATGCAATCTGAAGTCTACATTTATTTCAAATATTGCACTATAAACACTGTATTCAGTGTTAAACTAACACCAGCAGGAGGCTCACTGTGACACAATATCCAGTAAAAAGGAAGGAAGTTGTTTTAGAGGAAAGGACTGGATGGGTTTGAATAACTGCATATAACTGCTCAACAAAGAAAACACAGACCAATGAACAGTACATGCTGCAGAAACCTTACTGATGGACACATTTTGGATTTCCCTCCCCTACATATCACTGCAGGCAAAGTAGGATTATTGACTTACAGTTGCAAACCTCTGCCAGTGAGTCAAGTTGGAGTTTCATTCCTCAGTGTCAAAAAGAAAAATGTGCAGATAATTAATAAAAATAGGAGATATAATGAGCATCCAGCTGTGCCACATGCTGAACAAAATTTGCATATTAAACACAACTAACAGCAAATCAAGTTTTCTTGTATCCCATATATTCATAATTAAATGTGTTGTAGGCCCACTACCCTATTAAGACTTAGGATTTTAGTTTTCTTACTCCACTTCTTGCTGTACCCATCACCTACTCTTGGGGTTAATTTGCTCACGGTGACACAGTTGCTGAAAACATACAAAAATACATGTGGTTATTTTTTCTTACACATTGTAGTGTAAAGGTCTGTGAGTATATATGATACCTTTAACCCTGGAACATTATAAGTTGTTTATAGAACTTATAAAGAATAAATAACTAACACTCATCAGTAGCAGCACAGAGGGTATTGTGTAAACCACACACAGTGCTGAATCTGAAAACTAGAAACCAAAACAGAAAAAAGTGGACACTTCCTCAAAAAAATTAACATAACAAACTTTCAAGGACATAACAGCAAAACATGTTTTGACATATTGGCTTAAATGTACTTTTACTTAAAGTAACCATGAAGCCATTACTATAACCAAAGCCAAATATTTATTCTAACTCCTATTGTGGAAATATACTTGTTCTCACAACACTTTTGTTACTTTTTGTTTCTCTTACCAACTTTTTTTTTTTAAAACAAAAATGTTTATAGCAGTGGGTTTTCTTTAATAGAATACTCTGCCTCTTGTTGTGGGCTGTGTGGGCCAGAATTCAGGGGATTTTTGCAGGAAAGTAGGGCCAAGACAGCAGGTTCTTTCTCACAATAACCCAACCAGACTATTTGCAGAAGATGATATTACACATATTATTAGTCAACTCTCCGCAGTATTATTGTGAACTGGGCAAGCACAGCACACAGTTCCAGCCTGGTCACATTGCTGTTTTCTTAGAGCAACTAGATCTAGCAGCCAAGATGGTCTAAATGTAGAGGACATTTTGTTTTTTGCCATTGCTCTAGTGGAAATGGTAACACCTCATAACACGACCCCTGAATAAGGCTCAAGTACCCTGTACTTACGTGCATTTTGCGGGCAACAAGTCAGGTTTTTGCAGGAAACAGTGAAACATTTATGATGTAAAACCAGCCATTAAGACGCAAGTACCCTATACTTGCATGCAGTTTGCAGGCAACAAGACTAAAGACTAAAGTGTATTAGAAAACAAAGGCTAGCATAAACACATCCGACCACCACCAAGCCAGAGTATATTTAGATGTTGTTTGTGCAGACCAGAGCGAAGACCAGCACAGAGATGGGGAATTGAAACCAGGGTGAAGATCGGATTGACCACAGATATGAAGAAGTGAAATCAGGGTGAAGGTTGGATTGAGTGCAGAGATCGGGACACATAAATAGGGTAAAGTCATTATAAAGAAATAGGAGAGGCAGGTTCCTAATCCAGATGTGACCTCGTCTGACCAGTGGAAAGAGGAGTGAGAAGAGGTTGTGACCAGCCTGTCCACGAACGAGGGAACACCAAGTCTAAACCAAGGCCTCTCTCCAACAGTTTTGATGAATTAGATTGAAGCACAATTCAATATATAATCCTGTGTAATGATAAGTTAGGCTCATTCTCTTTTAGGAAGCTGGGTACAGCTAACTGCTTACAAACTATGTTTTTTTGACTGAGGGAAAACTGCTTGATAATATAAAATAAATACTTAAAGACTGGATTATGGCAACATCCCACTTTTGTCTCAGAAGAAAAGAATCCTCAACAAGAGACCCAAATTGTACTTTAAATAATTTTAAGTATCGTAGCTAAGTAAGTACTGCTTAAGTAATTTTCTGCATAATAGATATTTAACTATTCAAATGACTTTTTATATTCCCTATAAAATTAATACAGTGATAATAACTTTTCTCCATTTCTTATTGAAAATTATACAATCAAACTTTGGAGAGCATAGGCATCATCTGAGCATTACAAATGGAGACAAGCTGAGTTATTTTCACTAAACTTGAATTAAAAAAGAACATGAAACAATTATGTTTTTCCTCAGTAAGTATATCCGACAGCTGCCCTGTCTTGTTTGCGAGACATCTAACCCATGCATACTATGAGAATACATCTATACATGTTAGCAGGTATCTCACATCATCATTATCTGCTGAATATTCAGGCATATCAACCAGGTCGGCTTGAAACTGTCTTTCGATCTCATTCACCAATAATCTATTTCTGGGAAAATGTATCCTCACAGTTTTATGAAGAGTGTAAGTGTCATCTCCTTCTAAATAACGTGTCACCTGCAATAGTGGTGGCGTTACACCTGTTGCCTCTCCCGCTGCTATATGTAGCTTATTTACACAACCCAGCCCTGCAGAATGGGCTGGATCATGATATATTTTATACAAGGTGTTTTTCATGATCTGTTTGAGGCACAAATGACTAAGATGTTGATGTTAAGACATCTTTTTATTTAATTCACATTTACAATGAATACTGAACAGCATACATTAAATCTTACGCTTCCCTATGAGTAATTCATGATCATGCGGACCAGTCTCAGTTTAACAGTATCATCATAATCCAGTATGTGGTCGAGCACATCTTCAATGGCTAGTTCTATGGTTAATGATGGTTTAAGGTCATGAAGAACAGACATCACAATGCATGTGGGATCATTCTTAGCCTTCCAGATGTTGTATGACCAGAGGAAGAGTCGGATGGCAGGGATGAGCCGTGGCGTTCATAGTCTCTTCATTATCTTGTCATAGTGGTCTGCGTAGAAAAACTCAACTGGGTGTCCTCTGTAAAAATGAAAACCACAAGGTCTTAATTAACACACACACACGCGCTAACCTACCATTTATTTATTTAGTGGTCAGACGGTCTTATGATTTTAGGTCTGAAAAAAGTGCATATATGTTACTACCCACCCCTATATCACAGGTCACACATCTCACAGTAACTATAAAGACAATGTGAAAATATTATGTTTTATTTGAAGCAATGTTAGCGCTGTAAAAAGAAATTAGATGACTGGTACAGTCTGTGCTTAGTGTAAAATATGGTATTGCTATTTTTTTTTCTGATCTCACTGCACACAACTAAACAACAAGCCACAGCCTTTGTTTCTACAGTGGGGACCAAAAGAAGGAACTCAATTAATTTCATTTGCATCAAAAAATGTTCATCTTACCCACTGACAGCTCAATCTTGGTGTAATTTCCAACTCTCCACTGTGGGTCTGACCCACACCAGTATGTCCCAGTATCATGTACATCTAAGTATGTGATCATCACAAAGAAGGAGCTGGAGGCAGCATCATCTTGCAGTGTGACCCTTTGATCCATCGAGATGTCTGTGCATTTGTTGCGTTGGCCTCCCTTACAGAGGAACTTGCTGTTATTTCGATGTTGTGGAGGATAAGGACACTGCAACCGTAGTAGATTTCCTGCAATACCATTTATGTGTTTTGCTTTGACACAGCACCACTCTGTCAGATCAAAAAAGAAATGGTATTATTTAATCATGAAGTATTCAAATTTCACAAAAACCATTTGACAGCAAACAATGTCTTCTTGGCACTGGTGTAAAGAGCTATTACTATGAACTCTCACCTTCAACTTCCAGCTCAACAGCAGAGAAAACATCCACCTCAGAGTTTCTTTGAACACCACAGAGGTATGACCCTGAATCATTCTGAGTCAAACTGTTAATGGTCACTGTGAATGTTCCTGACACTTTGTCATCATCAAGTCTGAATCGCCCATTTTGTTTGTTGTCAGAGGTGATCAGTGCCTGCTGCAGACATGTGGAAGGCTGATTTCCTCTGCAGATGTACTTCAGGCTGTTCTGGTACTGAGACTCATACGAACAACTGACAGACTCAGAGTATCCCTCATAACTTTGAACTTTGGTCACAGTGTCACAGCAGCTGTCTGTCAAGAAGGTAAACAACACCAGAAGAAGTGTTACACCCATAAATGGCTATATATAAGGAATAAAATTTTCATATTTCAAGTCATTGTTTTAATGTTTTTTGGTTTTGTTGAGGTTTACTTCATCTTGACCTCATCAATCTGTTTGATATCCCAGCTGGAGAAGAAGGGTCAGATGAGGCTGGAGTATTTTCCATCAAAGCTTTATTAACAATGCACACTGGAAAATCCCCCTACATGGAGCCACAGCAAGCACCAAGTGGATCTGAGGAGCACTGCTCATACACACCTTTATAGAGTAAGTGGAGGGGCTGCCCTGTGCCACCCCTCTTCAGTAGTTTTCCACTAATTCTATTGTTCAGTCAGCTTTTACTCCTCATTTTCGACAGGCAGACCCCCACTGTCAATAAATTCCTTATTCTACACAGTTACACACCAGAACTTATAGCTAAATCAACTAGTTGACAACAAAAGTCCACTATAGTCCTCTAAACAGGGGTTGACAAAGTCATCCCAACAAAACACATTTATGAATCATTTCCTATTCTTCTAATCTACAGTCACACCGTATTATGTAAGCAAACCTAAGCACATTCTATTCTAATCATTGTTTTATTCTACTCACAAATGCTTCACATAGATTTATAAAGTTGTGACTTTTTTCTATCCTGCAGTGCATGTATGACGGTTTAAATATATTTACTATTTGTATTTATTATTTTATCTCTTCATCAGTTTTTTAAGTGTTGTTGCTACTGGTCTGTAGATGTTTATCCATCAGGCTAAATCAGTGGGATGAATGAATGTGATCTTAATTAAAGATTCAACTAAACCCAACCAGTGACTGTTGAGTTAAACTACAGTTAAACAGTATGTTGATGCTACAGCAGAATTAGCTGGTAATGGCAGTACATTTAACTTTCTTTATATAATTTTTAATCACTTTAAATGTACAATTCATCCTGTCCATGTCTTTATTTACCTGGTACTAATTTCAGCTCGACTTCAGTGTAGATATCTTTTCCAGTTCTGGTCACTCCACACCAGTATCTCCCAGCATCCGTGGATTGAAGATCAGCGATGGTTGTTGTGAAGATTCGTGCTGTTTTGTCATCATGGGTTGTGTATTTGTTTTTCACGGAGTGTGATGTGGTAATAAGAAGATCACTGTCACCACAGTCGTTCTTACACAGGTACTTTTCATAAGATTCATAACCCTCATCATAAGAGCAGGAAACGTTAACCTCTCTCCCCACATATCCAGTCACATGGATCACCCCTGCTTCACAGGTCACACATCTCAGAGCAACTGTAAAGACAATTTGAAAATATTATGTTTTATTTGAAGGAATGTTAGTGCTGTAAAAAAAAAATCAGATAACCAGGACAGCCATCTAACTTTTCATAACTGGTCCTGCATACTGCTCCTTAACAGTAAAACAGATAAATATACTGTTTAATCTACATCTGCCTTTGACCTTTATATGTTTATTTATTTATTCTTTTAAAATACTTACTGCAGAGGATGAAAAGCAGGTTTTGGAGGCTCCACATCTTTGCTTTGGCTGATTGAAATTTAAGATTTGAAAATGTTAAGCTGACACTGTGGTCTTTTACAGCAATGCGAAGGGACGTGCAGAGCTGAACTATAAGTACAGAGGGGATGGCGCTTTCTTCCATGGCCCTTCCTCTAAATGTATTTCAGTAATTTATAAAATAGCTGACATAGGCCATCTGGTGGTGAAAGAAGTATTCAGAAGTTAGAAGTGTTAAGAACAGCACTGCCAAAAAAAAAAAAGTTATAACATCTAGGAAATTGTACTTACAGATTTGAAAGTCCAAGCTTTCACTGCAGAAAAGTAAACCTCAGAGGTTTTGTGTTTTATCCTGTTGACATCAAGCATGCATTAATATAAAAGCATCATTAATCTCCTGATTTTGTTTCAGTTCCAAAGCATGAATTCAAAATGGGGAGAATTTATAGAGGCCAATGCCGACATGTAAGGAAAAAAATCATCTGCACCTCGGGACCTGCACAGATTCTTCTATGCATGGATAGGATAGACTGTCTGTGAGATCGAGGAGCTTCTTCCAAATTCTCCTCTCAGACAACTCAACTGGAGTCTAAAGTTCAGTTCACTGACTCCTTTGGCATTGGCTGCCTTCACTCTGCTGCTCTTGCAAACTGCCAACACATAGTGATAGACCTTAACAGATCCCAGTCCTCATAATAATAATAATAATAATAATAATAATAATGGATTGCATTTATATAGTGCTTTTCAAGGCACCCAAAGCACTTTACAATTCCACTATTCATTCACTCTCCCATTCACACACTGGTGGAGGCAAGCTACAGTTGTAGCCACAGCTGCTCTGGGGCAGACTGACAGAAGTGAGCCATATCGCGCCATCGGCCCCTCTGGCCAACACCAGTAGGCAGTAGGGTAAAGTGTCTTGCCCAAGGACACAACGACCAGGACAGAGAGCCCGGGGATCGAACCGGCGACCTTCTGGTTACAGATACGCTTCCCAACCTATCTATTTAAAAAAGTAAATGAAAGTAACAGATGATTAGTTATTTTTAAAAAGCTATTTACAGAAGCCATGGCCTCGGTGAAAACAGAAAACAGTTTTAAAAACAATAAATACTAATTATAGAACCAGCTATTGTACTTAAGTAACAATAAAGTTAAAAATTAAGTAAAGAGTAAGAGTAAAAATCTTCAGGTACCTGTGCTTTACTTGAGTACACTTTTCTGATGAGTTTTTATACACACACACACACACACAGATATAGATACTTTCTACTCATTACATTTTCAAAACAGGCTCATTACTTTAGTTTTAACACATTTGGGTGAACATGCTGTTCCATCATGACCATGTCACGCTTTGCCTGCCTGTTTTAGTAGATAAAGGTGAATGGCTTGGACATGAATTCAGCTGCGGTTTGGGGAAGGTCTCGATTATTAAATAGTGAAGTGAAGAAGTTAAA